GGCTGCCAGGAAGACAGATTTATTTTTTTTTTTAATATGTGCTCCAGCTCAGTTGTTTAGCAGTGCTTCTGATTCTCCATAAACTAGGGGCTGCAAGAAATAAAAGGCACTTCTTGACTTTCAGGCACTGCAATGTTGTGTCCTTTCAATACCTAACAATTTTTAGAAGAAACAAGGCTCCTAACAGAGCGGTACCAGTGATCTCACGCAACTACAAGTGGTGTTGTCTGTTCAGGTAACCTTTAAACCAGCTTTGTGTGCTTGCAGGTGTCTACATGAGATGAAGGGCAGGAGTGAACCAAGCCTGGCTTTTCCAGCTTCCTCCTTCTTGCATGCAGTTGATGGAGAGACCCGTGCTGCAAGGTAGGTCGCAACGGTTCCAGAAACCAAGCCCTCCACTCTTGCATCCTCTGTGTACAGCTTTCCTAACCACCAAGGGAGGCGCATCCAGCTGTAAACACAACTTGTGTGTCTGCAAACAGCAAAGACAGTGCTTGCTTGAAGAATGCAATTTGCTTCATTGCCTTCTGCTGCACCAAGGGAGAACATCCTTCATCCTCATCTAGGTTATTGGCTCAGTAGCTCATGGCTGGCACGGCACCATTCCTCTCTTGTGCATTACTCCATAGGCCCTGTCTTTGTTTCAAGGTTTGCTCTAGTGTGGAAGGTCCTGCTTCTGCAGATGCTTTCACCTGAGAGTAGTTTCATTCTGTTAAATGAGTGTAACCTGAAACATGTGGGCCAGCATTTTGGAGAGGCTATAATTACTCTAACAGCACACCTGGGTCAGCCAGCAAATGCAAGACATGCTGGCTGGAATGTTATTGCAGCTAAAATGGCATTTAATTTATTAGCAGCATTCAGCTGACAAAACACAACTCTGATCTTGCAGGGGATGGGACCTCTTCAATGTTAGATAAAAGCACAAAGATAAAAATCACTAACTGTTTTAGAGGTTCCTGTTTCTGAGCAAGGTTGTGTTTATTTACTGAACTCTGGTCCTAATGTCAGCTTTTTGTAGTATTGTGAAAGGGAAGAACTGTGGAGAATGCTTTCATTTGTTTTCCTTAGGAGGGACCAACATAGGTCTCCAGGGCTGTGAGTTTTCTTTTTAAAGCCACTTATATATTTTTATATATTTTATACTTTTTATATGAAAAAATGACAGCAGTCATAACATTTGATTTTCAGACATCAACCACAAATTTCTCAGATTCTCAATGAAAGTTTTTAAATGTCGTTCATGCTTGTATTTCATTGCTGTTCTTACCACAAAAAAGAAATGAGTGTAACTGCCCTCTAAAGTTTGTCTTTATTTCAGTATAGAAATACTGAATTTCTTTTGTCCAGATATGCTATATATCAGTCTCCACAGGTCCCTGTGGAAGATGATGGTTTCTTCATGCCTCAATTTACAGCTACCTGTTTTAAGATACACTGGCATCTCTCATACAGTGTTCCTGTTCTCTGGACCTTCTCTGGGGATCTTACTAGAAAAGTATAGCGATTTGACCAACAAACTCCAGACTTCAATTTCTGTTTAATACTGATTTTCTGGGAAATCAGGTTATCCACATTAGATAATGTAGGGAGAGATGCTGACTCATAATTAAGACTGTAATAGAGCAGATACTCTGTCAACTTGATTCCTGCCTCCTGAATGTGCAGTTGTAAGCGATAATTGTACTAGTTTGATTAAGTTTGTACAAACCAAGATGTTAATCAGTTTCAAAAAACATGAAGCAATTCAGTGCAGATTTGTTTATGGATTTGGGTGGCAGGATGGTGCTGGGGCTAAAAATTTAACTAAATAGTGAGAAGTTGAGGCCTATCTGAAATGTAAGAAATAAAAGTAAACCCGGGTATAAGCACTTATTCATAGAAGCATAAGCTGACCTTTAAATGTTCCTAAACATACAAAAACCTGACAAGAAGAAATAAAGGCTGTACCTGTGACAGGGAGATGTTAACCTTTGATGGAACTAGTTAAAAGAGCATAGAAGTCCTGCCAGTCACAACAACAGTGGCCTTGAAGCTTCTTAACAAGAATTTTAACAAGAACATACAGAATTTAACATAGAAACCACCTTGGGAGACTAATGAACAACATGCCTGCTTGGTTTTGACAGCAGAAGTTGAAAGGATAAAGAATTCTTGACTTTTAAAATGGTTAACAAGATGACTTCTGATTTAGAATGGCAGTATCTATGGCCTGCCTCATGATACAAATAGCAAAGATGAAACTGATGCGGATATGGGATCCCTCGGACTGCCTCCGTAAAGTGACCTTACATGGTGTGATGGTGTGCGTCCCTCCCTCCACCCTGCTTTCTGCTAAAGCAACAGCCACCAGTGGTGGTCATGGTGGCTGCATCTGGCTTAAGTCGGACTCTGGGGAGATAGATAACAACTCCGTAGCTGAAGGCCATAAATCTTGCTCAGCAGCTGAGGCCTACTTGAGCATGCGCCAACTGAAATACGGCTAGTATGGAAATACGACTCTAAGTCAATCGTATTACTCTATAGTGGACAGTCCAGGGCCCGCTGAGCTCTCCTGAATGGCAGCAGGCTGCATGCCAGGGTCTCCCCTTGGGTAGGGACACATTGCAAGGTTACTGCTCAAGGTTGAGACATTCCTTGCCGCAATAGATTCTCGGTAAGCGATTAATAGCCAAGATTTCGAAGTTTAGCAAAGTGGTGTAAAGGATTGATTGTGCATGTATAATCCTTCACACATAAACCATTGACCAAGTCTAGGACTAGGAGTGGATCCAGCCATGCCTAGACTCCTCCCTGAGAAGGAGTTTAGAACACAAGGGGGGTCCTGTCTGAACCTCGTGACTCAACAGGAGGGTCTCCTCAACAGTTTTGTCTGACCCTGGCCTCTATGCAGTAAATAATTAAGTGTACCTTGCCTTCGAATCTTTATCAAACTCTGTTAAATTGCTGTTTTATAAATAAACATATTACTACTTCTCTCTTACAAGTGACATCTGCAACACACGGGCATGCACTGAATTGATCCCATGGCAGTGTTCTGTCACCAGTCGAGAGACTGGTGAGCCTGACGACTCAGGTATTCCATAAATTCACGACGGCCTGGGACAAGCAGGTATTTTGGATCTCTGAACATTCATGGGTCTTGTTGACAGTTATCTCTTCTTATGTCACTTATTTTAGTTTGAGGTGGGGCTTTGCTTTTGTTCTTGGCTAGGTACCAGCTTCAGTTCTTCTAGGGGAAAAAAAAGCATAGGCAGATTGTAGTCTGGACCATAGATTAAAAGACAATTGAGTAATTGCATCCTGTCTTACTAGTATAGTGGACTAAACTCCCATCTTCTGTAGGTCATCCCTTGAGCTTGCCTTGATACACTGATGACTAACACCACTATGACTAACACCTCTATGGAACCTGCAGCAGGAGTCATTTCAGGGCTGAAGAATCTTTTGTGTATGGCTGGTAAAGCAAGCTTTCTTCACTGCCTCTGCTAAGAATAGCTATTTGTACTTAATATTCACTTAGAAAGGAGAGTTATATAGAAAAAAGTAATTAAAATACTGAATATATATTCAGTAAAGACTGAATTACTTACATCTGAGATGAAAACCTATGTAACAAGGAAAGCAGAAAGTTGTTTATTTTAACTGGAGAAGTGCATGAGTTTATTAAGACTAAAAGCAACTTTTTTTTTTTAATCCAGCTAAAATTGTTGATATAAATAGGCTGTAATAAGCTATACTAGATACAACATAAATGGGAATTAAAGGCAGAACATTACAGAGACAGAAAGCTGGAGATATAAAGATGACTAATTCTTCAAATATATTAAATGCAAGAAGGCTACACGTTGCTTTCTTTGGTGTATTGATTCTTATACTTGATCTTGCATTGACTGAACTGAACGCAAACACTTTAACACAGAAACAGTATTTTACAGTTGAAGGCATATCCTCAAATAGACAGGTTCTGCACAAAAGCAGGACTTGCATGTAAACTGGACTTAAAACCAGAGAGTTCTAAAAAAGAACAAAGTCCCCGGTACATATTTTGACTTTATCTACAGTGGCTAAATATCTCAGTGTTTTCTGTAAGTGTGCAAATGGTGCATGCAATACCACATCAGCTATCAGATTAAGAGCAGCAGGAAAGTGCCACTTCATTGCATATGCCTAGTCGTGGTTATTTTATACAGGACACGTACCAACACGTAATAAAAATCTTTGTGAAAAGTCACTGTTCTACTTTGAGTGGGAGGCAGAGTAAAAAAAAAAAAAAAAAGTCATTTTAGATGGCTTACTGGGACACTTGTTCAGAAGAGAGGTGACCTTTGTGAAACAGATTCTTCAGCTTGTTACCTCTTAAGGTGGGGGAAGTCATCACAGTGGCTTCTGAAAACTTCGCTTAACTCCAGTGGATTTTCTAATGCTGTCAAGGACTCTTAACAGTATGCTGAGACCGAGTTAAATTTAGGTACAATGAAATATTTGCCTGTCTAAAAACCAGTAGACTTGCACGATCAAATAGATAAATTTATCTAAACGGAAATTACACTATGGAGATCAATACCATCAAGATACCAAGAGGATATTCAAACGGAAAACTCTCCTCAACTCTACTGTGCTTTGCACTTAGCACCTTCCCTCTCAGGAATTCAAAGCTCTTAGCATGCTAATACTAGTGAATTTAGCCTCACAACATCCAGTGAGGTAGGTAAGTTTACCCCCATTTCACAGATGGGAAAACTGAGGCAGAATTCTGAAGTGACTTGCCCAAGGTCCTGCAACTTGACGGTGGCAAAACCAGGTATATATTTTCAGAAGTCCAGATCCCAGACCTCCATCCGATTAAAGTCCCTCCCTGCTACCACAAAGCAAGCAATACATGCAACATTTTCCCCCCTCCTGCTGCCGTAGTCCTGATGGTGCAGAGGAAGCGAATGATTTTTCCTGATTGAGTTCCCGCTTTCTTTGGCAAAAAGCGCCTGGTTCTGTCAAAGTGCTGTATTATGCTCTTCGCAGAGGCGTTTCTTCTGAGGCACAACAGAAAAAAAAGATGGTTTCCCCATGGCAGGGAGACTGTACAGGTCCAAAGAGAGTCTTATTTCTTGCAGAAGACCTGCTGCTTGGCATTCTTCACACGTTGTTCCTCCTTCAGGTTCTTCTGCCGTGCATGTTTGCTGGAGATGAGTTCCACGTGTTCTGAGGGGAACCAGCCTCTCTCTCGGTCTGAAAGTTTTACTCCTTCCATCCATCCTGCAATGCAGAGAAAAGCACAACATGAGGCAAAAGAGTCACACAGTTTTTCGTTCTTCCCAAAAAGCCCCCTCCAACAAGGCGCTAATATCAAAGCAAAAAGATCCCCTTTCAGCTTCCAAATAAAGTGTCTTAATGAAGAGTCTCTTCATCCTCTCAATCCAACAATCAGGAATGAGAGGCTCCTTCTGAAGCCCGATTCTGTCGTTAAAGCTTTACACTACTAGAGTAACTTCCTACCCGTAATTTAAGATAGCCGTTGTTCATTCTGCTCACCATCATTGCTGTACTGCATAACCATGATGATATCTGCTTTCTCCAAAGCCAGCTCATCATTTTCCCGAGCCTTGTAAGTCTTTATGCATTGAACCTGTGGTGCATCTAAAGGGGAGGAAAGATCGTTATGGTACACTAGAAAGCAAGAGTAAACGTGTGTACATCAGCCCCAGAGGAGGTGGGGGATAGGGGACTGCCCAAACACTAAAGAGCGGAGAACTGGAAGGGAGGCTACAGGTCTTCTACCTAATACGAGGAGTAAAAATAATGGGCAGACCTGACAGTGAGGGAAAGCCCATGAGTATCTTCGTTATTTACCAAAAGGCAAGTGTTCTGCCTTGGAATCATTCTGGGATGTCCCACCTCCCAGTGACTCTAACTCCTCTGAGCCAGCCCACCCCCATTGTAGTAGAGGCAGAGCAGTCTCACCAGGGCATTCCAGGAGGTCCAGTTCTCCTCGCGGAGGAGCCAAAGCAGAGATCCACCTCAGCTTCTCACTGCTGGAAAACATCACCAGGTAGGTGTCAGGATTCAGTGTGAGGGATAGCAGCCTGATGACTGGAATGGGGGGGTGGTTTGTACAGGTTCGCTCATGGGAGGAGGAGTCAGGGACAGGGTGCTTAGGGGAAGCAGAGAAAGCGGAAGTGGAGAAAGGGGATGGGAAAAGGCAAAACCTCCCATTTTTGGAGGCTGATGATATGACATAACGTGGTAGTATTGTATGAGCAGCTATGATGAGAGACGAGCAGGGTGGTTCATTAGGGGCTTGTTACGGCAAAAGGATGTTTTTCAAGTCCTCTGCTCAGCAGCTGCATTTGATATTTCAGCATTTGGGTAGCCAAGGGACAACCATCAGGCTCCTAGGAGTTGTCTGGCTACAGTAACGGGATATACTGAGGGTAACCTTGAGCTCTTACTGTGTCTCTGTACGAAACAAAAACTCCATTTTTCCCTGGTAATTCTGAAGTAGAAAGAGACGGAAAACATTTTTGTTTGTTCCATGTAGTTTCATCTCACACTTCTCCCCACGCACATCTGAGAAAGCAGCGTGATCAAACACAACAAAACGTCCACCCCTGCAGATAAAGAGGAGGAACAAAACAAGCTGTGAGTTTTAAGGTGATGAGGGTTACAAAGGGAGTCCATGTTGTTTGGAAAACAGGAAAGCACAAAGCTTTTAATGAGTCTTCATCTGCTTCAGGCACCCTAAGCTTTGTTCTTGCTAGAAGTCTCAGAAGGCCAGAGAAGACAGAGGGGACTTAATGAAAAGGTTAGAAATACTAAGCTCTGTCCTGTCAGAATTTTATTTCGTAGCTTACAGCTTAAAAACAAAACCACCCCCCCAAAACCCCAAACAACCAACCAACAACTCTCCTTGTTTCTTGACAACCCAGTGATTTGCACATGCACTAATCTTCATACTGTCCTTTAGAAGAAATTATTTACCAAGTAAAACTAGAATAAATGGCTATTACTAAAGTGTTTCACATTATAGAGCTGAAAAGGCAGAACAGAAGTGTTGCACTAGGGACCAGAAGATATCTTGTTATATTATCATATGTTTTAATTAAGAGTTGGGACTATCAGATTCCACATACTTGCGTGATACTCACATAACGTGGGGTTAGGAGAGTGAGTTGACAAATGCTGCCACTCTCTGGCAGGCAGAGGGAAAGGACTCTTTCACCAAAGCACAGACCCAGAAAGAGACAGGTATTTTAGAAGGGGCACCAAGAATTGTGTTGAAGCACTCACTCCTTCGGCCGAGACAGGAGCAGACAGTCATTGAAAAGATGTAGGTAGATGGGACGGGTGGTGACTTTCCATTTTGGACTCAGGGTGTTGAAGTCCAGTGCCGTCAACTCACCACACTTCACAAGTCGCCTCGACTGTGAGATGAGTGGGAATATCTGCAAGACAGAAATAAACACTTATGTCAAGTGTGTGCAAGGAAATCAGTACCTATGAGTTTTGGATTTGCATTTTTGCCTTTCTCTAGAGGAAGTGTGCTTTCACCTCTCCAGCTGGACAGGTGTAAGTCAGGGTAGGCACCTTCAGCTGAAGGCTAACACGAACGATGGGGCAAGGGAAGCACTGATGAAGAGCTGACCTGCGTATGACATTCTAGTTCAACAGTTCTGTGTATACTGGAGAGGAGAACAAAAAGTAAGAGCAAGTGACTGTGAGAAAAGACAGAAAATACATTAGGCTAGAGCAAGGCCCAGGGAGTGGATAAGCTCACCTTGCACTCAAATTCAATCTTCTGGCTGAGGTAGATCAGCTCTTCAGTGCTCTTCATGCGCTGGACATTTTCATTGCAATCCTTGATAAGCTGCAGAAGAAAACAGACCATCAGTGAGGTGGTGAGGTGGGAGCAGAACTGCCAGGAGCCCCTCAAGAGTCAGTGTAAGTGACAATTCCTTAGGCATCTTCCTGCAAAAAAGTTTTTTTCCAGGCGAGCGTACTAAACTTCTCCATACCTACAATGATCATCCTTCTTTCTTAAGGAAAGTATTTGTTAGATGAAGTATCTGTGATAAGTACTGTTTTAACTTTGAGATACTGGGGGGAATACTAGAGACATCCCTCTCCAGTGACAAAGGCTGAATCGCTGGTCGTTAGGAAGCAGCTCTTACCAGATGCTGCACTGTAAACACAGGAGGCTGATTAAATAAACATCAGCCCCCATTTTCCACAACCCAGAGCTTGTTGCCAGTACCTGTGAGGACAGGACATCATGAAACAAAGGTACTTCAGCCTGTAAGCTGCCTATGCAGCCACCTGAGGTGATACAGGGCAGCTGCATCACAGTGTCAAGCCACAACGCTGGCTTGAACACAGCTGGAGTCTAAGGATTTCCATGTATGACATCTTGCCCACCCACCTTGGACTGCAGCGCTTTGGGAGTTGTGTAGCATGCAGATGCAGTCCTAAAAGCTTTATGGAGGTAGGCAACACATTGAACTCGTCTTTAGGTTTGTGGTGGAGAATAAAGGAGAGATTATAAGGAAGGGAGTGATACTCCAAGCAAGTCAAATCATCACTAGACAGAACAGGAGCTAGCTAGGAACAAGTCTACCTTATGCTGCTGTACAAATTTAGGTAAGTTGTGCCAGAAGACTTTAAATCTTATCTCTGTAATAAACAGGATAGAGGAAGGGATGCAATACAGTAATGTCTTGCCATGCTTTTTGTTGGTTTTTTGGTTTTTTTTTTTTTTTTAAAGCAAGAATTTCTTGCAGGGGGTAGAGTGGGAGTTGATCACTAATTAGAGACAAAGGTGAGGAACACAAAGGGGGAAGGGTGGTTAGGACACTGGAAAGTTTTTGTCGGGAAAAAGTAGTTTGGTATCATTGGTGCAAGTTCAGTTGCATCCCAGCTGTCTCCTGCTTTAGTGTTTTCTGCTCACAGCTACCACTGCACATGCAGGAGAGTCACGTGAACCCACTCATTTGTCACTCCTGAGGGTCAATGACAAGGATCCCTCAAGACAAGGGCGAGGATCGATGAAAGGACTGGGCCACTTCGGTGGCCCGCAGCTGTGTGATGCAACATGGCTATGGAGAATCATAGAACGTCCTGAGCTGGAAGGGACCCACGAGGACTACCGAGTCCAACTCCTGACTCCACACAGGGCAAACTCGAAGTTAAACCATATATCTAAGAGTGTTGTCCAAACACATCTTGAACACTGTCAGGCTTGGCTCCTGGGGAGCCTGTTCCAAGTGCTCGACCACTCTCTCAGTGAAGAGCTTTTTCCTAATATCCAATCTGAACTTTCCCCGACACAGCTTTAAGCCATTCCCTTGCGTCCAGAGAGAAGAGATTGGCACCTCCCTCTCCATTCCCCCTCATGAGGAAGCTGTAGACAGCAATGAGGTCATCCCTCGGTCTCCTCTAAGCTGAACAAACCTAGTATCCTCAGCCACTCCTCTAAGTCTTGCCCTCTAGTCATTTCACCACCTTTGTTGCCTTCCTTTGGACACATTCTCATATTGTTACATCCTCCTTATACTGTGGAGCCCAAAACCGCACACAGTGCTCGAGGTGAGGCCACACCAATGCCGAGTATAGCAGAACAATCACTTTTTTCCACCAGTTAGCTATACTGTGCTTAATGCACCTCAGGATACCATTGGCCCTTTTGGCTGCCAGGGCACATTGTTGACTCATATTGCAAGTACCGTCAACCAAAATCCCCAGATCCCTTTCCACAGGGCTGCAGAACAGGTTGACGACCTTACCTTTTCAAGTGCATCGTAGGCCTGCGTTGCTTGCACTTCCTCCTCAGACCCAGGCCGAGTTCTCTTCAGGATATTCTGCGTGAGAAAAGATGCAAACAGGGAAAGCTGGACATATGTATTTGGGAGGGGTAGGAGAAACAAGGAGACACCAAGATGCCAGCCTCAAGGGAAACTAAAGCGGTGGTAGGTGAAGAGATGTGGAAATAACAAGGCCAGAAATTTGACGCACAGAATGTCACCGATAAGGTGCGTTGAACACGGTGTCCCTGAAAATCTAGATTGTATTAACTATCACATCCAAGTTACATGGCAGAGGAAGCAACCACTAATCCAAGCGCAAACAGCCTTACACACAGAATCATTCTTTGCCTGATACTCCTTTTCTCCTGTTAAAAAAAAAGCTCAAATAATAAAAAAGAATTATTTCATGGAAAGAGCTTAAAGTTAATTCATTAGGGACTTGCTGGTTCCCTGTCTGGAAGGCTCCTATTAGTCAACGTTCCAGGCAAAGAGTAGAGACAGGCTGCCTTCCAGAGGCCAGCCAAGGAACTCTTGCTTTGTTTTCCTAGCAGGAAGTCAAAAAAGTTCACAATAACATAAATCAACATGTTCTGAGAAGTGCTCCAATAAATAATTTATGGAGTGAACTGAAGTAGTGTTGCAACAAAGTGCTAACTGGTATACAAACTGCATTGCCTCACACAGGCTGTCGTATCCAACTCACAGTGCTGGTCTAACGCACGGTAGGCATTTCTACGATGACAAATGGGTTTGTTTATGCAAAGGCATATTCACAATCTATGCAACAGAGCGGCTTTAGAGCACCTTGCCAAACTTGTCACAGATGCAACATGAAGGGCTGTATGCAGTCCTTGGAGGTAGTTCATATTTATACGACTTTCAGACTTGAAGAAGGGTCAGCTTGAGAGAAACTATAGAAAAGGAGAGAATCAACACAGTTACCTGTAGGAGGAGTTTGAGTCGAGTGATGCGCTGAAAAGGGAGGATGAGGAAGGATTTAAGTGAGAGGCGCTGGCATACTGGATCACTTTCCAGTCTCTCCAGGACTTGTTGGAACCCCGCATTTCCATTTCTGTGGGAGTGGTAGAGAAAGAAGACATCCAGACATCAGACCAAATAAACAGCCTTCCTAGCATCAGATTTCAGTGGAGTACTCCCAACAGTCAGGTTTTGTCCCTGGGGCAAGAGATGTCATGAAACTGCACCACTCTGCTGATGAAGAGCAAGTAAGGGTTTCTACTGGCTATAGGACAGCAGTACAACTGTTATTCTCTCTTTCCTCTTTCTGCCACAGCCCTCTGGAATAAAAGCCAGAAGTAACACCTACATTTCAATTCCCCTCTATCAGCAGGGCACCTTTCACAGAGACAGTGGTGGTTTGTATTCTTTCCTTACACAGAATGGTCCAGCTCCAGGGGCTGTGTTTAGAGTCTGGAAACAGAGGCTTCCCCCTCTATTGCTAATCCTGAGAGGAGCTGCCCTCCCCGCAATGTGTCTCTCACCCTCTTAGACACAGCCACTGCCATCCAGTTTTCCTTGTTGATAAAAGGCTAATGGTACGAGCGTGGCACCAGCCACCAAAACAGCCAATCTCATATCCTTGAACAGATGGGGAAGAAGGTTGTAAGCCCAGTAGACATTGCCCTAGACAATATCCTGGAGGTCCCTTCTGTGTGGAACTGAGCTTTGCCTGAAGGGAATCAATTGCGAGACTAGATCTCTCCCAGTCAGCAGCACCCAGAGACAGTGCCTGAATAGCCTGTTCGGTACAGCGTCTTCTCCTGGAACTGCTGTAGCTTCACTGGAATTGGGTTGGTACAAAGGGAAGCAGTGCAGAAGCCGCAAGGAAACCTTGCTCAGGACTGGGCCAATGCCTGATTAATGCTTGGTTGTGCCACTGGGTACAGAAGAGGAGGGCAAGAGATGTGCCACTCCACCACCTAGAGCAAGAGAGACTGACGGTGTTCTCTGGCCCCAGGATTTTCAGTCCATTTTAAAGACTCCTGGATAGCCAGTTTAAGCTTACCGACAACAGCCATATTTTTCTCAATTACAGAATCACAGAATGGTTGCGGTTGGAAGTTTCACTTGAAATTGTCACTTTCTGGTTCTTGGTAATCTGAAAACCACAGACTGAAAACCATTGTCCAGGACAGTCACTTTTGCTCTCTTCAGTAGAGGGCAGACAGAGAGAATAGCCTGCAATAGAATCAGATATTAATTATCCTTTCCCTTTCCAATGCTATGGGAGAGAAGCCTGCAGCAGCTCTGTCCTGCTTGAATTGAAGAAGGTTCCTGCCTGTTCTTCTGGGGAGGTAGTGAGAGCACTGGCCAACAACCTGCACCTGCAGCATTCCCCATCGTTTGAAAGAGTGACTATTCGAGGTGTAGTAAGGAAGTAATGGGGGAGAAGGGCACAACAAATGAGAAAACTTACAGTAACCGCTGGAAGGTTTGCTCCTGATATGTCTGGTTTGTTACATAGGGTAGATATACCCTGCGGAACTCAGGGGCATGCTTCAGAGCCACATCGCACACATGGAACGTGAACATGTCCTCCTCAAATTTCTCCTCCAAGTCAAAGAGGAAACTGCAGCAGGCAGTTGCGGTGCCATAAAAGGAGAGGGAAATATCAGTGTCATTTAGTAAAGCAGGAACAGCCTCCGTCCTCTAAAATCCTGACAGCCCACATATAAGCGCAAGACAGCTCTTTACTTCTAGAGAGAGCATAATGGCTGTACAATGACAATTTGGGGCTAGATATCAGCAAAGAAGCAGCAGAGGCAGAAGACTTCTGTTCTTGAGAGGTCATACTTCTAAAGGCACGGTCAGGAAACAGCTCAAAATTAAGACATCACCAGAATAATCCCACTAGTAGAAATGGAAAAGGTAGCAGCAAACCTTACTAGCTTAGTGATATACACAGCAAGCCGTGCAGGAGAAAAGCAGAACAGAATCCTACAACATACAGGATTCCTTGCATGTGGGGTCATGTCTACATTTTATGACTTATGCTCAATTGATTCACATTAGGTTCTGTCAAGTGATGGCTGTAACTTACTTCCCCCCTCCCCTCCCTTAAATATTTTCTTTTTTTTGGTCAGGGTGCATGCAGCTGCTTCTTTTGTCTTGTATTTGGCAGGAGCTGCATTTGGTTTGGGCTAAGGTCTAGTTAGTCAAGTTTAGTTGTAGTCAAAGCCAACAGCGCATGGCTACAGTAGCATTTTAAACACCTTGATCTCCTGCAATGAGCTCTGGGCACAATTGCGCCTTAATATCTGGGACTTAGCACCAAGATGTACATTGCCCTGTCACCTAAAAAGGTGAATGTCCCTTTCAGGGCAGAGTTGGTATGCAATCACAGAGTGCTCCGTGTGTGTATCTACCTCGAAGATCAGTGAACACGCAGAACAGGACTGAGAGAGGTTACTGATGGAAATGATGGGCTGCACCTGTGCTTCACAAAGGGTGTTAGTCCTGGAAGCAAAGGACCATAAGCTCACCTAGCGCTGACGTCGCGTACATCATGAAGACGAGAGAAAAGCCACTGACGCTCTTGATTGGTGAGCATTGCCTGGAGCTCTGCCGATCGCTGGAAATGATCCACTGCCACATTTAAACTGCGCAGGTATGAAGCCTCAGACATTATTAACTCAAACTTGGCCTTGAGAGATGAAATAACAGAGCACAGCATCAGTAGAATACGCGAGTCTGTGAGGAATCTTACAGAGAGAAGACAGGGGCAAAGCAAGGAAACCTCCCAGTACATGATGTAAGTGAGTATGTAATTAGAGAAGAGAGGTTTTAGGAATGACAGGCAAGCATGCCATTATATATAGTCTGTCTTTCTGTAGAAGTCAGATTTGTGGTATGACTTAAAAGAAAAATAGCTACCTGCTCTCATTTTACTTTCTGTTCCCCCTCAACTCCACTTTCACTAGGTTCTCTGTTTTACATGCTCCCATAAATTTTCCAGCATCCGCATCACCCATGTCTTCCTCTTTCATCACGTTTCCCATGCTGTTGGTTTTGCCTCTTTCTCTGGGACCTCCCATCCACTTCTCAGTTCCTCTCATTTTCCTCACCCAGTTTTTCTGTGTAGCACTTTGCTGAAACCATACGTCTTCCTGTTTCCTCTCAGCCCTGCAGCTCACACAGGTCAATTTGGTAAACTCACACTCTACCACAGGAACTACAATTCACTGTGATTTTATTAGCATCTCTCATAAGCTCACGTGTGGGAGAATGCTGGAAGTCTTCTACTTTAATACTCTCTTTTGCACTGAACATCCTCAAAATTCCTTGTTTTATCTCATTCCAATTTCCCCATGTGGGTTTTCATAAAGTTACTGATATGGTCCAGAGTCCATCCTTCAGTGCTCCTTCTCTCTACCACTCTGAACTTCAGCACCATACTACTTCACCAGCACTGGTACCACATTCCCCATACTGCTTACACAGGTAGAGGTGACCTCTGCGTTCCCACATCAGAATTGTTGCTCTCCACTTTTAACCACCCTTCTGGGGACTCTTTTTTGACTACAGATGACCCATCTACCTTGTTACACCTGTCCATTACCTCTTGCAGCTTCTGCTCATCACGGGACATGTTGAGTAGCATTCTGCTGCCCCGTATCATGGGGATGTCCTGCCAGAGGGACGCATTAGATGAGACTGACAGACGTTGCAAATACGAGTCCTGAGGAGACAGCACTTTCCTCCGTAGCCTTGGGGAGCTTGGGAAACTCGACTCTATATCCTCCGCGAAAGAATCCACTCTCTTCTGGCTTTGAATGGCCTTGTTCAGAACCACATCACTGTACTCCTGATACAGCAATCTTGCTGTGAAGAGAGGCATATACATTTATACTTTCTATAGCAGCTACTTGCCCTTTGCTTCAATCTGGAGAAAACTCTGTTACTGTCTCAGATTAGGATAACCAAATACATCAGACCACATGCACCTGGATCTATATGCCTCAGTGTACCACAGGACTCTGCTTTCGCTGCCTCCACTGAACATCGCTCTCTAATGCTCCCTCCTTGCTACCATGTGGCAGGAGCCTCTCTCCTTTGGGCTCGCTGCAAGGGTGACAGAAGATGGAGGAGAGGGGTCTGCCGCAGCACTTGGGGCAGACGGTACTTACAGGAGTTGATCAGTTTGGAGTGCCGGCGTTTGAAGTTCTCCATTGCATCTGCAGGTTTCTTCTCTCTGTCAGGGAATAAGGATTTGGAAATAAAGAGTAAATGAAGAGCCCAGTGCCAGCGATGGCTTATCCAAATCTTAGTAATAGATCTGTCACAGCAAGGACCTCTCTTTCCAACATCTCAAGCTCCACATGCTTTACTTAACAAAGAATGAAGTTTGGCTTAATGGAAACACTGTCCTAAAGGGACCGAAATACTTCTGCTGCAATGGGGTCCTCTCCCAGAGGGCACAGACTGAAATACAGGCCTAAGTCATTTTATTATACATTTCTACTTCTTATCATCATCTTTGGTCCCTCAGGAACAAGGGAGAGCATCAGGTGTCTGTGCTACACAGGGATGGGGACAAATTCTACAGGACCTCTGAGAGACTTACCGCAATATAACTGTTTCAGAACTGACTGGTGGTTCCCTGTGTGCCTTGTGAGCTTCTTCCTCCGAAGGACCAGAAGGAATTTCTGCATATAGGACAAGTAGAAAGTAAACACACAAGTCCATTTTTAGACTCAAGCTACAATCCAAATGACACACAGATACCACTTACCTGTACCCCACCTAAGTGGTGGTCTTGGGTTGAAGTACACGTGCCCTCCTGACCTTTATTTCTGGGTCAGAAACATTCTGGTTTAAATAATCCTTGACTTTACTTATACTTTACACCCATTACTTAGCCACATTTGCTTTTCATACAAAGAAAAAGGCTGACACTTTCAGCAACGACAGTAACTCTAAGAGCCTCCCTCTCCAGTTGCCCAAGCGAAGACACTGCCTTTCCCCTTTCAGCAACCTGGGCCAGGCATCGGAGGATCAATGGACTCAAAAATCACTAGTTGTGTCTGAAAGTCTTAGACTTTCTTTTGTGGATATTGAGCCGCAAAAAACTCTCAGTGACTTCTGGGGCAGAAATGGTGAACATCTAACAAAGTCACTCCTGTGAAGAGTCTTAGAAGGTATGTGGCCTGAGAGTGAATGCTGCCATCCAGTTCTCACATTTATGTACTACGTAAGCATTCACAAACTGCTGCTCGAGTCATCTTCTGTTTATGTGAAATGGGGAAAGTGTGGATTTTTCTTTTGTTTTGTGAGGGACTTAAATAAGGTGTGAAGAAATTCTATATAAAATTCATTGGAAGAAGGATGAGGAAGAAAGCCCAAAGACTGAGCTGCAAGTATGGGTTAGGGGAAAGACAGTACTGTTGCCCTGAATGTTTTAAAATTTGGAACCAAGAATTTACAGGTCAAACACATGAACAAACCCTGATTCAAGTGCCGCCAAACTCTTTACACTCCTCCACACTCTCCTCCTTTTCCTCTGTGCTAAAAATCCAGCACGTTGTGAAGCCTGGAAAATAAACTAAGTAAGAGCTGAGAAGAAGCAAGTACGTTTAAAGCTCATGGAAGATATAATAAGGAATAGACATGCTTCTTGACAGTAAGTACTGTCTGAATGAGCGGCATTACAGAAGATGCATGTTTTCCATTTGTGACATCAGTGATTTGGCTTCTATGCAAGTTGGGACCTTGGATTTGACAAATCTGCATTCTTAGCTGTACTCTCAAATCCACCGTTCTCAGGAAGATCATCTCTTTCAGAAGGTCAAATTGAAACCTAAAGGTGTCAGTTGCAAAATAAAGGGAGGTAGCAAATAAACAAGGAACTAAAACATGCAGTAACAGACAGAGGCTACTGAGGGGGTGTGCTTGTGTTTTCCTGACTGCTTGGAAACGGGCTGGTAAGAGTGCAGCAAAATGCAACGGCCGTGTGATGGCAGCAGAGAGGAGAAAGAAGTGTCCGGAGAAGGGCAACGAAGGTGGGGAAGGGTCTGGAGCACAGGTCTGATGGAGGGGTTTAGGCTGGAGAAGAGGAGGCTGAGGGGAGACCTGATTGCTCTCTACAACCACCTGAAAGGAGGGTGTAGCCAGGTGGAGGTCAGTCTCTTCTCCCAAGTAACCAGTGACAGAACGAGAGCAGATGGCCTCAAGTTGCACCAGGGGAGGTTTAGATTGGATATCAGGAAAAAATTCTTCCCCAGAAGGGTTGTCAGGCACTGGAACAGGCTGCCCAGGGAAGTGGTGGAGTCACTATCCCTGGAGGTATTTAAAAGATGTGTAGGTGTGGTGCTTAGGGACATGGTTTGGTGGTGGGCTTGGCCGTGCTAGGTTTACAGTTGGACTCAGTAATCTTAAAGGTCCTTTCCAACCTAAACAATTCTATGATTCTATGATGAGCAGAAGCTCTGAACTAAGCCCCACCAAGAAACTCATTCCTGCAGTTAGGTCAAAATAGCCCATGTTACCAAGTAAGGGTGACAGATCATTAAACACAGAGAAGGGACAAGAAGGAAAACTGGATGCAGGTGAGGGAAGTGAAGTGAAGTGAGATAAACTCTCTCTTGCAGGTGTTAGTGTGAAATGAGGGGACTGAGCCCCAGGGCACAACCCCTACTCAAGAGAACAAGCAGGACGTGCTGCTTACAGGGCAGCGAAGAGTGAGGGGAGAGCTGGGAGGGGGGAGCTTGGGGCAGGACGGTAAGGGGGCTACAGCACTGGAGTGGAGTATGACCAGAAAGGCACAAGAGCAATGCCAAGCTCTCGGCTCTCATGCCTCTCTATCACATTGCCTATTTAATCCTATGTTTTGGGTATCTGCAATAAGCTTGGCGTGGGGTGTCGGGGGAGGGAAACTGAGGAGAAGACTCACCCTGCAAGATGTCTGGTGGTACTGAGATCCTCTTCAGGCCCTGACGGTGCCAGTCCTTGCTTTTTACTCGGCGTTTTATTGGGTTTTCTTGAGTGCCTGCTGGCTCCTGTACAACTACCCTGATCGTTTTTTTGTCTGGCCAACTTGATGATTTTTCCAAGGGTGAATGTCTGGGCATTTCCTCCTTTGGCTGAGCTACCAAATGGTGTCGTCCTCCTTCTCCTTCCAGCCTCTGCTTGACCCTCCTCTCACCTTCTGTTTTTTCTGTGAATGCCAGTGGAGCTTGGATGGTTTTTGTGTCCACACCAAAGATGCCTGCCTGTTGCTCCCATCGCAGCTCCCCTGAGACCTCCTCCTCTTGACAGGTCGTTCTGGTGGTTGGCGGTGATGGAGGGCTGAGCTGGAGGAAGTGGATTGGATTGGTGAATGCTAGCATTGGAAGTGGCTGCGCAGAGTCTCTGCTCTTAGAGTCTGTGGATGTTATCAGGCCTTCCAGCGAGGGCCACGAAGGATGGTCAGGTGAGGATTTTCCACACTGTATATCCATGTGCTGGTCCACCGTTTCAAGGCTGGTGTCAGAGCAGCCAGCCAACGCTTCATTTCCAACAACAGAAATGCTTTTGGCCAACAAACTGACCTCTGAGTCATCAGAAGTCTCAGTATCATGGGTACCTGAGTCACTGGACTCTCTAGTTACTGAAACAAGGTCATCTTTCTCTGCCACATCTTCTCCATCAGAAACAGAGGCCATAGTGTTACAATCAGAAACAGAGGTGGCAGTCCGGAGAGGATGGCATATAGTAGTGTGAATGGCTAGTAACTTATTATCATCCATACCACAGTTGAGGTGTGGCCTGGAGCAGGGTACGGGAGCCAGCAGCTGGTGACTTTCAAGGGCTGGAGGTTCAGCAAGGTGATTTGTATTAAGGACAGGGGCCTGAGCTTGACTGGGGTTTTGGACATGAGAAGGAGGATGAGGAAGCTGTTTGGCATCAGGCTCAGACACCAGAGGTAGGCTTGAGTGGGACACAGAGGACAGAGGTTGTTCTTGCTGGTTCACAGCAAGGACCGTATCTTCTTCAGATGGCCAGGTTAGGGTGCTCAGGACACTGGAGATTCTGGATCCAGGCTCTTTTTGGGTTAAACTGCAGTCAGACTGATCAAATAAAGGCATTTGTTGTGCTTCATGATCCACATTTGGTCCCATTTCTTCTCCTTGGATAATGGCACTTTTTTCTGGGGGGGTTTGCTGAATCGTCTCTGGGTGGTTCAGGGGAGTGGAAGTCCTGCCTGGTGTTCGGGGTGGTTCCAGAGGCCCTGCAATGATAGCCACAGCCCTCCTGTCCTCAGGAAGGCTCCCCTTTAGAGGAACACAGCTCGTGTGTATTACAGGGGAAGAAGACAAGCCACTAAGGTCTTCATGAAAGCCTTCCTCAGAAGTAAGGAGTTCATGGGAAGTGTTGGTCTCCCCTGGATCAGTACTTACAATAGCAGTTTCCCCTGATGTTGGGTCCCCCAGCTGTACAGAAGCAGCTTCGTTGGCTGGCTTCTCTGCAGAGGCTAGCAGTTTGTTTGGGTTGGTGTCAGGACAGTCCTCAGGGGTCACAGAGGCTGTTCCACTAGCAGCCTCTTGCTGCGGGCCAGACGTTGAAGGCACAGAGGTGAGCTCGGAGGGTAAACCTGGAATGAAGTCCTGAAGCTCAGTTTTTCCCAAATTTTCTGTAATGGGATGAGGATCTATGGGATCAGGCGGCACCAAGTTCTTGGTACTAGAGGAAGAGTGTGCTGGAACAGAAGCCTCTGGGTTCTCTGCGCTAGAAAGTGCTGCCCCTTCTCCATGGCATGGTGCACCTCTTTCATAAAACCTCTGGACAGCTTTTCTATGCCCATCACTGTGCTCATCCTCCCTGCCCAGTCTTGTCCTGTCATCCCAGTCAGCTTCTCCAATATCCTGACCACTGATGGAAAAGCGGCCAGAGTCTTCCAGGTCCTCTGCCTGGTCAGAGATACGGCGTGTGTGTGGAGGCACCATGGGAGTTTCACCCACTGGCTTCAGGTTATTTGAGGACAGAGTGCTGCCAGTGGGTGGCTGACATCCAGAACCTGCTCCTCTGACATGAGCTTTCAGCAGTACATCCTCACCAGGATGCTGATCCACAGAGACAGGTTCCCCAGGAGGAAATGCTGATCCTGTTTGCTCAGCCAAAAAAACATTCTCCAAACCACGCAAGTCCACATTATGCCTGGGAACAGAAGATACCTCTGACCCAAATGCTGATGATTGAGCCTCCAGTTTGAGCTCTTCCCTCTCCACTTGTTCCTGCTCATTTCGTTCCTTGTTTTTCTGATCCTTGGGCTCCAAAGATCTTCCTTCTTCCAGCAGATTCTGCTCTTTGCACTCTTTCCTGCTGAAGTTCACACATTGCCTCCTCCTGTGCTGGTTCCTTACGCTGTGGAGTATTCACTTCCTCAGTTTTTTTAGCAGTATCCTTTACTTGGAAGGCAGTCTCTGCTGGAGAGGCAGGTCTGCCCTCTGTTTTTCTGTGACCATCTTCAAGATGAACGCATTTGGAAGTGGATGAGTTTTCTTTCGAAACCATTACTGTTCCCTGGTCTTCAATCACGCTGCTATTCCTTGTTTCACCAACTGAGATGTTTCCTTCTGCTTGTAGTGAACTTATTTGGCTGTCGT